TCTATAGGCGCGCTCTCATTAGTACAATTTCAAACTTTAATATCTCGATTATTATTACGGATATCGCTAAACGGTAAAGGACTTTTATGTTTATTTCGATCCCATCTACCTTCCTGTGGGAGATTGGAAGAGTGGGGCTGGACACCCTGTATATATGTATATATTGTATGTATATAATATGTATATATTGTATGTATATATATATGTATATATTGTATGTATATAATGTATATATATGTATATTTGTGCGTGCACTTGCGCGCTCTAATTACGACTAGACTTTTACGTAGCTAGAAATAAAAAAACGATAAAAGAGTAACTAGTAAAATCGTTACTATTACCTCAAAAATGTAACTGCGTTACCATAAATGTTACTCAAAAGAAAGTATAACGTCATTATCCATTCGTCACCGAAAAAAGCAAATTGTAACGGTAATGACGTTACAAGTAACTTGCCGACCTTGAATATTGATAACGAAACAATGACACGTAGATGTTTAAAAGTTTTACCTTTATTGAATAATACTATAATTGGAAGAATAACATTAACTGTTAAATAGGTTTATTACAAATTTTTCATATACATGTTTCAGTCAATATTCATTTATTACTCTCAATTATTAGTATGTTCTATGTTATGTATTTATAATTTTATTGTTTTTCTGTATTTGATCGAATTCATAATATATCGTTTATTATATTTTTGTTTAAATTACTACGAAGAAGTGATAAAATATATTTTAATGATGAAAATAACCGTTCAACATTAACTTGTGTGGAAGAAACAGCTAATACAATACTAGCTAGTTTATATAAATCGGGCATTGAACGTCTATTTTTCTTCCAAAACTGTAAAATATTTTCTTTTGATTTCAAACGGGGTACCTGAAAAAAAGAATTTAAATGATTTCTTATATCACAAACAATAAGACATGGTGGAGATTTCGTTCTTTTCTTTCGTTCAAATTCTTTCATTAAAGTTTCAATTTCATCCACATCCGAATCACTATTTTCATAGCACGATGTTGAGGCAATGTTAATTCTTGGATTATTTAATGTCTCAATTTTCGTAAGCTGATTCCATATGTTTATTAAATGTTGTTTAGCCTGTTTGGTTTCTTGTGATGATAGTACAACATTGTATCTGACATCCAGAAATATTCCCGCAAGGAAGACATCATTTTGAAACAGTTGCGTCTGACGTTTCTTCATTGCATCAACAAGATCGATTGCTAATGTCGTATTTACTTTTGAAGTTTCTAATATGCAAAGAGTCCATACATGGTAAAAGTCACCAATGGTCAAGTGTTATTCTTGTAACTTTTTTGTAGCTATACGTGCAGATATTAAACTGTCTACAATGGATTTTAATTTATTCCATGTTTCAGGTGCCAAATATAAATCTTTGTTTGTAGATTCGTCGCAACAGAGTTTCAGTTCTATTAAGCGTTCTATCATGTCGACAGTTGAATGCCATCTCGTAACACAATATTGGTTTCCTTTTTCGTATTGCTTTTAAAACAATTGTTGGTGTATGTAGCTTTTTATAAACACGTCAAAGGATTATCGTCGGATAGAAATTGCACATTTATAGCTAAAAATGACCGATCCATTCATGTAGCTGCATCTAATTTAAGGGACACTAGTTTTCCATTCATCTCGCGACGTATTTTACTGTGAATGGATTACTACAATTGTGGTATGTATGTCAAGTATATATA